TGGCAAGCGGGCTCTTGGCAGGGCTCAGGGTTCAGGGTTCAGGGTATCTCCTAGTCGGGCAGTCTCGTCTAGAGACTTGTTTTTTATTCAAATTGTAACGCACGCAGCGCAGTCGATCCCGAGCCCAATTCCAGAGTCAAGCCCATACCCAATCCGAATCCGAATCCGAATCCCAATCCTGCGCAGCTTATGTTTAATTCATGAGCTGCTTGCGAAACATTTTCGAGTTTCGCCTCCGCCAATTGGCAATTGGTGCACCGTTCTCTGGCTCTGACTTTGACTTCGGCTGCCAACTTGCAACGGGTGAGTGGGCAACTGGGCAACTGGGCAACCGGTCAGCCGCTCTTCGGGCCTTCAGTTAAGTGCTTCATTGTCACCCCCAGCGCCCAATTAGACACCTGAGTTGAGCTAAGCTGCAGACGTCTGCTGCTGTGTCTTTGCTTATCGCCTACTCGCGTTTGTAAGTCGATTGCATTAGCCTTGCCACCACGTGTTGCACAAACAACAAATCATGATCATTTAAATAAGACTTCAATTCAATTTTATATTCTCGATTTGCTAACTTACAGAATTCACAGGATTCCAATTGATAGATTTTTAAGTTGTTTAACCTTTGCAATTAGAGATTCTTGAATATTTTCAAAATATTGACTCAAGCGAATAGCCCCACTCTATGAGTAGTAATTAACTAAACTAAAAAGCCATCTAAATGAATTATGTGTAAGGAATAAAAACAAAGCTTACTCTTCTGATCAATGTCAATTTATGACTTGAATTAATGCATTTATTTCTAGTCATAAATGTTCCTAGGACTTAATTGTTAATAAATAAATCTTTTCCAACAAGTTAATAACTTTTTATATCCTGCGACCATTGAAAAATTGATAATGGATTTAAGAAAATTAATGTATATGGTGTATATATATTCCTGATCAGGAGCAAGACCTCTTTCGAGCTATTCATGCCTTTTAGTTAAGTGCGTAAGAGCGTTCTAGTAAAGACTTCCCGACCGGAAGATACACAATAATTTATTTATATATATATTACTGCAAGTCCCTAACCTTAGTGTTTTAAGTACCTACAGACCGACAGACGGACAGACGGACGGCTCAAAAGTATATCGTGAGTAAGCCGAATCACTCGAAGTGTATTATTAGCCGATATTAAACATGTTAAACAAAGTCAAATAAATTCAATCATTAAATTTCAACTCAAAATTGTACTTCGTAGTATATTTGAAATGAAACACCGACTTTAGAATACTCTTTAGCAGTGCAATCACAGTTAAATTTCAATAAAAAGAAATATTTAAATCGTATTGAGAGCACCTTATAATGCAAAGGCGTAACTGAGGTGATAGTATCACACGTGTCATAGGATTCTCGCTTCAAATCTGTGGATGATACAGCTTATCAAGTTGAGGGTGCCAAGGGAAGGACGGACGGACGGACTGGCGAATGGTCATTGCACATAAGCAAACTAGCCCTTTCACTTGGTGATTGAGTAAAAACATTCTTATATTTAAAAACAGACGAAACACGTTTCGCCTAAGTCCAAAACACTCTAGAAATTTACATATTTAGACAATATATTTTTAAGGCATCAGCTTATGGGCAAACGATAAAGCAACAGTTCTATAAATATGCTGAATATCTCTCCTCTCTCTCTCTCTCTCTGTGTCCCTTTCCGTGTCTCTTTATCTCTGTCTTTGCGTGTCTCTGTATTCCAAACAGCAAATCAAAAAATGCTCGAAACGTAAATGGAACAAACATTAGCTGCCTAAGCACTCCCCACTAAAAATACAATAATATATAGTTGCACATAGTAAATACTATATATACACATTTATATATATATGTGTGTGTGTGTGCGAGTGTGTGACTGCTCTTTTGAAGGTGAACTCTGTGGATTTGGCTGAGATTGCATAAGTGGAGCAGCGGGAGGAACTGATCTCTGCATAGCTCCAGCGCTTTGCGCTGACATAAATGCACGTAAAACGCTGGCGAAACGCGCACAAATAATTAACTATAGCAAATGCTGAGAAATTCCAAGGAAAATGCAACACGCAGCAGAACACAGCAAAAAGTTGTTCCCAGCTGAGCAGTGGCTAGGCAGGGGCCTGGGGGAAAGGTAGCTGGCTTTCAGGACAGACTAGATGACGTTCAGTTAGAAATACAGCCGGACTGGAGCCAGCTGCAAGCTGCTGTTAGTCGATGACAACATGGGTGTAGTCAAAGGAGATAGAAGCATAACAGACAGTGTATAACAGTTGGTTAACAGTTTAAGTTGTGTCTGTTAACTGAGCGGAAGCTTAACACAGATTGGAATAACATAATTAATCCACGTTCAATATGGAACTAGTTGAAGCATCAGCACAGAAGCCATTCAATATTTTTGCAATTGAAATATGTAATATGATGAGTCCGTCTGTTAAGCTGTTAAGCACAGGGTAGCCCACAAGGCCTATTCCACAGGTGGCCCGTATCTCAAACTCAGCTTGAAGCTCTCTGTATGCAAGTTGTAAGTTTTTGTATCTGCCTGATTTGCATTAAGTGTCGATTTGACTTAAGACGCTTGCCGAAGATTATTGCAATTCAGTTAACAGAAGCAGGCATTGACGAGCTGTTAAGCTGTAATATCTTATGTTAAGGAATGTTAACAGTAAGTTCTTTTAATGAGCGATTATTCAATTGTCTTTCAATTAAAATGCCAAACTCTGTTGCCATTCGTCAAGAGCCTCAACTGCGCGCTGAGCAGTTGCCGTTGACCCCTAAACTACGCACATGCTTAGATCTTCAGGTAATACCAATTAGTAAGCGCTGCACAGCGCACATCTATACAATTGTGAGAACCTTGTGGCCAGCGTGTGAGTATGATGAAATTTCAGATGAGGCAACAGAGTGGAAGATGTAGCTGTGGAGCTGTAGCTGTAGCTGAAGCTGAAGTTGGAGCTGGAGCCGAAGCTGGTAGGTCGAGTTGGAGTTGGAGTTGGAATTGGAATTGGAACTGATGCACCCGCTGCGGGGTCGAGCCATATAGAGAAGGGAAGCCTGGCTAGCTGACTGGCTGACTGGCTGGCTGGCTGGCTAGCTGGCAGGCAGCGAGCGTTCTATTTTGACAGTCATTATGATTAATTTAAATCATTAGGCAGCCTAGGCAGGTAGAGTGTCGTCTCCAGTTGCAGTTGTTGCTGCTGCTGCTGCCGCGAGAGCTGAGGCCAGATTTTAATTAAATGCAGGCGGGCAAATGCAGTGCGGCCACATTGTGGACTATTCCTATTCCGCGGAAGAGACAAGCTGGCGACAACGAGCAAGGCTGCTGGGTGTCTGGAAAAGGCAATGTTTGCCATTTGCAGCGGGGAACAAGCCAGGAATGCGTCGATCTTGCTGCTCTTGCTGCTGGCTTCGTCTCGATTATCAACTGGGAGCAATAACTGGCCACTGGCCAGTGGCCACTGTATCGATGGATGGATTGTTTGGCAGCTTGACTGTATCTGTTAGTCACTGCACGTGGCCAGCGCGCTGGTGCAGCGTTTTCTTGCGAACAGCTATTTAAGGACATTGCGCAAATACTCAAGACTTGGGACGAACTGTAGCTTCTGCAGCAGTAGAGGCAGCTACAACGCCGCCGCCGCCGCCACCGCCACCGCCACCGCCACTGCCACCGTCATCGCCATCGCCATCGCCGCCACGCAAATCCTCTAGAGCATTTACTGACCATATTGGCCCTCGCCAGCTGAAATTCCTGGCATAGTTTAAGTGTATCGGTTTTTGTGCGCCTAGGGGGAGATGCAACATCGATGTTTGCTCAAAATAACAAATTAACTTAATCAGCGCTGATAAGCAACAAGAACTGAAATGGCGGCCATTTTGTAGTGATCACTGTACAATCGATAATTAAAAACTCAATCACGCAATCACAAAAGCAAATGAGAAAAATAAAAATTAAACGCAAGCCCAAAAGAAAGAACAACATTAAACATATCGGGCCTAAGTGGGCGGAGCTGGCAGTGCGATGCAATCTATGCGTCGGCGCAGCCAATCAAATGCACGCAAATGGCAGATGTTTGCGCAAATGAGCGTTGTAAATTATTCATACAAAGCGTGAAGAGAGCAGCTCACACACTGAGGCAGTCACACACACACGCACGCACGCACACATACAGATAGCGGCTGAGTGTACATAAGCTTAAGCTGCGTTTAATTAATTAAGCCATAAAGCTGCGCAACAACAAAAAGCACTAGCTCTTATATACTAAGCTCTCTCTTTGGCAAGTATTAAAGAGCTCACACATTCACGCTCTCTTGTTCGAGATGACTCTCTCTTTGTCTCTGTCTCTATCTGTCTTACTTTCTCTCTCTCTCTCTCTCTCTCTCTCTGTCTCTTGCCTTTGATACGCAACCGGTTATGCGGGCATGCACGCTCCAAGTTTGGTGCAAACATTGAACGCCGCTGCGCCGTCGCTTGCCATACGCGTGCTTTGTTATTAGGTATTTGCACGCCATCTGAAGCACAACGAAGGCAACAATCGATCGGAAAGTTAGCTCGAGACCAAATATACAAAGCAACAGATATACAAAAGCAGCAGCGGCAGCAGCAGCAGCAGCAACAGCAACAGCAACAGCAACAGCAACAGCAAGAAGAACAACACTCACGCGCAGTTCGTAGTTCGCATTTGGCAGTACCACATTAAAACAACAAATAAAGTAAAAAGACCAAAACAAGTGCCGCACATCTCTCCATCAAGCGCTGTCGACAAATAAGTCTGTACAAAACAAAACCAAATATAAAACAACAAAAGCAATAGCAACAACAACAAAAACAACAACAACAGAAACATCAACGACAAACAGTTAGAAATTGAAATGTGCATTTGATGAATTGCATTTGCAAACGCAACTGAACAAAATTTTGAAACGAATTCAAACAAGCGCGCGCAAACACAGCCAAGTCGTGTGCAACACTGTGACTGTTAAACATCTGTTAACCTGGCTGTTAATTAGCAGCAGCAGTTGTCAGTTTTTCTTGTGTGCTTGCGCCGCGTGTGTGTGTGCGCTGCCCACCGAAAGTTTTGTGAATTAATTGTTAATAATAAAAATACAAATATTATTGATAATTATTGTCAATAATAACGAGCTGCAGCGCTTTCAGCAAACGGCGTCCGTTCTAAGCTCTACAGTGTCAGCAGCGGCCAGCAGTGCAAACAGCTGACAGCGACTGCGGCGGCGGCGGCGGCAGTACTCGTCACAACAACAACAAAACTAGCAGCGGCGCACTCGTCTGGGTGTGCGTGCGTGCGTGTGCTTGTGTGCGTGTGTTTGTGTTTTTGTGTTTATTTTTGGAATTAAAAAGCTAGCAGCAGATATTTGTGTGGCAAAACTAAAGCTAAAGCTAAAACCCAAAATCGAATCAAAAAAGTGTGCCGCAGCGGCAATAATAGACGCGCGTGGTGCCTTGAATTTACTGTACGGCTCCACGGTGGAGAACTTTTACCTAAGAATGGATCCCACGCGCGGCGACTCGCGCTACAACCTAAACTACTCCATGAGTAGCATAGGTCTCAGTCTGGCCGATCAGGCCGACATGTACGGCAATCCCGCTGTCGCTGCCCTTGGCGCACGCCCGCCCAGCGGCGGCTTGCTGCAGAGCATGGGTGGCAGCGGTGGTGCGGGCCTGGCTATGCAACAGCGTCAGAATCCAGCAGCGGCGGCGCAGCAGCAGCAACAGCAACAGTGTCAAACTCTGGGCAACAGCCAAACGCACAGTCCACAACACCAGCAACAGCAGCAACAACAGCAACAGCAACAACAGCAGCAGCAGCAACAGCAACAACAACAATCACGTGGCTTAAAGCGCAGCGGCAGCGACTGCTACGAGGACCACCGTTCTAGTGGCGGCGGCATGACGCTGCAGGGCCTAGAGAGCTGCGCTGCTGGCAGCATAGTCAGCGGCGGCATCGACGTCGACGGGGTCGATAACTACAACGCGCTGCCCAATAAGAAATCACCGCCCGCCAATGGCAAGAAGACGAAGGGACGAGTTAAAATCAAAATGGAGTACATCGACAACAAGCTGCGCCGCTACACGACCTTCTCCAAGCGCAAAACTGGCATAATGAAGAAGGTAAATTAAAACAGATAATTGATCTTATAAGAGCGAATTCCGATGGGTTATTCGAGGAAGTTGGGAAATAGATTGAAGTGGACTAACGAAGAGTTCTTCACCTGAAATTGATAATATATTCTATAAGAATGAATTCCAATTGGTTATTTGTGCAAGTCAAGAAATTAGATTGAAGTGGACTAATGAAGCCTTCTTCACACTGATCGCATAAGAAAGAATTCCCATTGGTTATTTGAAGCAGTTGAGAGAACTCTTAACTGTCCAGTTTAAGATTTTCCGAAGAAGTGATAAGTGAATATGAAATGAAATTAAAGAACGCCGACCTAAGACTTAAATAAATAAATGAAGCTATTGTTAACTAGCTATTGTTTCACTTTGGTATATTGCGTCCTACATCAGTTGACATTTCAAAGTATAAAAACTCATGTATAGCAGTTATTTTTACATAGTTATTGCTTAAATTATTAAATTATTGCTTAAATTCTGCTTAAAATTATTTTTTAATCTCGGTGTTTCAATTTAATAAATTATGAAAACATTTTTAATACGTTATTAAGTTTGCTAATAAAACATTATTTTCACGTTGATGATTTTAATTTTAATTAAAATACTTTACGATTTTTTATCGATCAATCAAAAAAAGTCATCCAATATTCTTCCAAATTGTGTCCTTCGTAGCTTGGCTTCAAACATAATTCCATTCTCAATGACTCATCGTGAAAAATTATTCGAAAGCTGTGAAACTTGCGTCCAACCCGTTGGACATTACCAGCGCAAAACGATAGCTTCTTTTTAAAGGGGTACTAAGAGCTCTTCCTTTTTAATTTGTTTAGGCTATTCCATGTGTAGCACGTTTTGAGCGCATGTGCAATTAATAAATGCTACCGAATGCTCAATTCTCTGCGGTCGAGTCAAGTCCCTGCGCCTCTTGCATTGTTCTCCGTTTGCAATGCTGCTTTATCATTCTGTTGCTATCGTGCGCAACCTGAGCTCCTAAGGCCCCCGCCAAAGGACCCCTCTTCCTGCTCGCTGCTGACGACCAACTGTTGCCCGTTTGTTTTAGTGGCGACGGCGCTGTGTAAGCGCAGTAGCCACGATTCCGATTCCGATTCCGAATCCGAATTTCCCTTTGTTTTCGGCTTCATAAAATGTTAATTTGCCGGACGCGCAATTGCATTCAAAGAGCAGAACCCAATACCAGTTTTATATATATAAATATATATGTATGTACATATAAATAGCTACAGCAATACATATGCTGATCTCAATTGCCGTCCTGTGCTGTTGCGTGCCGCTTGGCCTCATTGCCATGCGAAGATGCAACTGCAACTGCAACTGGCTGCACCTTCTGCTTAGCCTGCTTCCTAGTCAGCTTCTTGGCCAAGTTCTTTGCTATTTTTTTGTTTTTGCCTGCTTTCAAATGACCAATTTTCACACGCAAACTTACATAATGCGCCGCTTGGATCGCATATGAAATGCTTAACATTTTTAAATAGACTCCTTGGCCTCAAAGTCGCTGCGATCAAAATACAACAACAAGAATGAAAAAGAATAGAAAAAAAACGAAAAATGGCCAGCGTTAAATCACGATCTCAGCACGATCTTAACTACAACCAAAGCCACAAAAATCTTATGAAATATTTTCGTTTCAATCGAGACAAAATGTAAAAAGGAAAAATCTCTAAACGTGTCTTCGGCTCGCTTAATACCCTTACCAAAGTAGGTGTGGGCGTGAACAGACTTCGAAGATCTGATGACTAGAATTGGGCACAATAATGTTACCAAGAACACAAGAAATTAGTTAAAAAGTGCAAAAGCATTACTCATTATTATTATTAATATATATAAAAATATATTAAATATGCAAATATTTTCAATTTTATATAATCTTTAGAATGAACTGTATGAGTTTTGACTATAAAATAAATTAAATTAAAATATCGTTGTTCGAGTGTCGTTTCTGTCTCTAATAGAAGCGAGTTTGTTAATCATTTAACATTTGTAAAGTGATAATAAATATCAAAATACAAATAATAATAAATATAAAATATAAACTAAACCAACATAAGTTGCGAGAGTTTCATGTTTTAAAGCTTAAACAATTCGAATAAATAAAACATTTCTGATAGTTATTGAAAATAGTAAAGTTTAATTACTTGACGCAAGGCTTCAAATCTGGTGTATGAAAAACAAATGCTTTATAATATATCAAATATAGTCCTTAAATTTGATGGCAAAGGAATGTCAGTCATCTTTTTCTGTTTTTGAATTGCGAAAATTAATTTAATAATATTATAATAGTTATTTATTATCTGCATCTATTTGAAAATATTCAAGTTCAAGTTCCCAGTTGCTGTTACGTAAATCATTTGCGCCATTCAAAAAGAGAAAATCTTAAAGAATTTTGCCATTGCAAAAATATTTGACCCCAGAGACATAAGACTCTAGCTGATTTTTTGTGGCGACTCCTGTTGTGGCAGTGGTTGTTGTTGGCTGACTTTGGGGGCCTACTTATGACAGGCGCGCGGCTTTTGACAGGGACAAAACTTTTGTTATATATTTTTAGTGACTTTGATGTGGCCCTCATCGATGTCCACGCCGCGGACAGTTGACATGCAGACAATGGATACGCATGGCGCTACATAAACACACATACAAACACACGCACACACACACGCAAACGCACACATGCGCATCCTGGCAACAAATTGCGGTTATTGAACCTGATCAATTCACCTGGCTGTCGGAGGTAGACGCCACAGTTACGAAAGCAACCTGTGTCCAATACCAATTTTAGGCATTTAGCAAAAGCTACTAACAGAAAGAAGACGTGGAGAAAAAACTGAACTGAGCTCTGGGTGTGGGCGTGCCGCATGGCCGAAAAAGGCCAAAAGTGAAAAGTGAGCTAATGACAACGCATGATCTCATTTGTAGGCCTGGCCTAATTGCGTAGGATGAAACATTGGATCTGCAAAGAGAGTTTTTGCAGAAGATATATATATATATATGTGTGTGTATGTGTGTGTGTGTGTATGTATAGCACACGTGTGTGGCTGTCTGTTTGGCTGGCTGTCTTTCTGCCTGCCTGGCTGCCCTGTCGTTTGCCATGTAAAACGTTTGCAACAATGGGACACCGACAGAGGCAGGCGCAAAATGCCGCCAAAAGGTGTTAAATTGAAATCACGAGGCGCGCTCCGCTTGCAAACTGCGAGCCTGAGGCCAAGCTGGGGGCCAAGCTTTGGCTTGGGAATTGTTCGCTGCACGGAAGCATATTGATACCCCTTGCAGCAGCTTCAGCCACAGCCTCCGCCTCCGCCTCCGCCTCAGGCTCAGCCTCAGCCTCAGCCTCAGTCTGAGCAGTAGCAAAAGCAGCGGCAGATTGTGCACAGATAAGCGAAGCAGGCACAGGGCCGACAGTTCGGCTGCGTCGGCTCGCCTTTTGGGCACATGCAACTGCAACAGCAGCAGCAACAATCGCCTTCTAACAAATGACTCTGCCTCTCGCTGCGGTCTCTGGGGCTTGTTCTGTCAGCAAGCAGCAAGCAGCACGCACCGCCCCTGTCCCGGCCTGCCCTAGCTGCATCAAGTCCTTTTGTCTTTGTGTTCGAAATTCAAATTGACATGAATTGTTGGTCCGCTGACTGCTGCCGAACCTAGCCCCAATCCCTGCCCTGTTCCTGTCCGTGTCCCTGTTTCCGTGCCACCCTACCCTATCTTCATCTGCCTCCTTCGCAGACACCTACTCATCGGCCGGGCCGTGTCAATTGTTTGCATTTACACATGTTACACATAAAATTGGCAGCCCCTGGCAGAGAGTGGCAAACAGAGCAGCGTCAGCCACAACAATGTGAACAACAATTTCATTAATATTAATAAATGCTATGCTCGTGCGTTTTGTGCGCGATTCTCGCGCGATTTCCTCGCCAGCGAGTTATTTATGCGCTCAGCCGTTGGCTCTCTGGGAGCTCTGCACGGCATTGCACCAGACAGCAGCGTTATCGCCTTGAAGTAATTACGAGCTGTTGATAGTCAGCTTAAGCTACCGTCTATCGGCCCGGAGCAGAGTGCTTTAAGTATCTGCACTAGAGCTAACCGCGTGTTTTACCTCACGTGGCGTGAGAGCTGTGACTATATATTTTCTTCTTTTATATGTTTCCTTTAACTCCTTTAATATTGCACAGCTTTATTTAGCAAATGCAAGTTACATTTAAAAATGTTCTAGATATTAAATTGTTCCTTCATTGAATAAATCACAGACAACATTAATTTAGATGCGTTATAATTGAACACTTTAAGCATTTTTTATTAAAAGAAACGTTTACATTTCCTCATCAATATAAGAGCCAGCATCATAATTCTTTATTTTTGTCTCAAAACTGCTACCACTTACTTCTTTAAACAATTATTCAGCAAAGGATTTAAAGGAATTTGTGAAGCTATAACATTTTAAATTAAAATTGTCGAAGATATATCAAATTCCGCAACATATTTATTTATACCAAAGATAACCGAGTCTAAGCCCCGATAAACTTTCTTATGCAATTCCTCAAATGACCCAAGTGGCAGATACAGGTAAGAAATAGACTTAATGCAAACCCATTGTAGATAATTAAATGGCTTAAATATATTATTGTAGATACTTAAATTTCTTAAATACATTCATAAGTATAAGTATTTTTTGCCTTCAGATTCTTTTAATCACACTTCGTTTGATGTGCTTCTTGCAGGCCTACGAGCTGTCAACGCTGACTGGCACCCAGGTGATGCTGCTGGTGGCCAGCGAGACGGGTCACGTCTACACATTTGCCACGCGCAAGCTACAGCCGATGATAACGTCGGAGGCGGGCAAGCAGCTGATACAGACGTGCCTGAATTCGCCGGATCCGCCAAGCGTTGGCGGCGGCGATCAGCGCATGTCCGCGACAGGCTTCGAGGAGACAGAGCTAAGCTATAACATCGCCGACGAGGACACCAAAGTAAGACAATTGATTTACGGCCATCACGGGCACGCTCATCTCGCACACCCCCAGGCGCCGCCCTCGCATTACAGCCTCGAGCAGAGCCTCATGCAGTCCGGCTACACCGGTGGCCAGGCCTCACCGCTGTCGCACGCCCAGGCTTACGGCGGACATGCCCACCATGCGCATGTGCCGCACGTGCCGCCGCCGCACTCCACGCACTCGCACATGTCGCATACGCATGCGCAACGCTAGGGACCTAGACCCCCTCTCTCATTATATACAGATATACACATATAGCCGAAGTTGGGCTTTCTATATATATGTGTACATATACATATATATATATATATAGGTATAGGTATAGGTATAGGAATAGTTGAGTGTGTGTGTATGTGTGTAGCAGATCCAAAGTGCAGCATTAGGCCATGAATCGTCACGGCAAATGAAATATATGATTGTGGTGATGGCCAATTGACGATCTCGCCGTTCGTTTTGTTGTTTATCGTTGTGGGCGTGGCAGCTCACTTAAAGCATATTTTTTGTTAATACTAGTCAAAACTCTTACTTAAAGGCGACTGTGCCATAACAAAGCTACAGCTCTCATATATATTTACATATATGCCAATAGCAATACCAATAGCCATAACTATATATCATCAGCTGCAGCAACCATATCGAATCGTACCCAGTGCCATCATTGTATAACGTTTCTACCAGACAAATCTCGTACAGACACACCGAAAACAAGACATATAGCCGAGACTGCTTTAGTTAGTCCTTAAGCATAAGTGCAATAAAATGAACTAGAAAAGAACTAGACGAAATAGACGATTTAGACGAACTAGATGAACAGAGATATCACCGGATAATCGTTTGCTGAGCAGAGTCTAAATGTAGACTCAACTACGTTTCGTTGGTGATGATCTTAACTGTGTTTTTTTTTACTCGTTTAGAAAATGTGCAGGGCGGCCTCCAGTGCGATGAGCGTGCTCTAACCGAACTTAAAAAGTATAAGATATCATTAATTATATAATATAGTAGTTGCAAACTATTATTTTTTTGTTTTGAGTGAAAACTCATAATCGTCTTAGCTTAAACTAAGCGCTATTTATAATTTACATAGTTTATTTGATTTCCTCCATTTTGGTCTATATATATTATTCAATTCGATTTGCCTGCTTGGCTCTGGCTATTATAAATATGAGAGCTACTGAATTTATTAATTTGCATAATTATATTTTAGCTGAACTGGAGTTTATGCGTGGCAACTCATGATAAATTACGAAACTAGTAAAACGAATACGTGACAGTCCTTTCTAAAGTATTTAACAAAATTTAATTAAATATAATATGTTATGAGTTTAAATTGTGATATTTAATTTATTTACGTTAAATATTTTCTTTTTTTTATATTTGACATTTATACAATGCTAATTCCAAATTCACACGATAATATGATTTTAAGTTGTGATATTTAATTTCTTTTTGTTAAATATTTATTTTTTTATTTTTGACATTTATTACAATGCTAATTCCAAATATAAATTTAAATTCAAATGTTTAAAATTCAAATTACTGGATGAATATATCAAATCTGACTTTCATCTTAAATTTATTTTTTCGGAGAATTTATCATGGGTTCAATTCTAAATTTGAGATATACTTTTATCACAACTAGTTTCTTTAAACGAAAATTATATATCAAGAAAAGTTGGCACGCATAAACTCGTAAAGCTTTCGTTAAAAATTCAAACAGAAATTCAAAGTCAGCTCGTAAATCGGATCAAAATTAACTTACTCTTTGAGTTGCCTGCTTCTCTGTCTACTAATATTTATTGTATATTTTTTTAATTAAAAAAAAAAAACAAAACAAAACAAATTAAAAGGCGGCTCAAAATATTTAATTCTTATGTGGCATGACAAAAGATAATAGTTAATAAAAACAAATTACGTAATTTGCAAGAAATTTAATATAATTTATTAATAAAAACATGTTTGAAACATTAAATTTCCAGATAATATAGTGCAAATTGCATTTCTGTCAAACAGAAACAAAAGAAAACAAAAACGCAATTCTATAATAAATATTCGTAGTTCAATTAATTTAAATGCTTGAGCAATTACCTAAACAAAAATAAGAAAATACTTTTAAAAAGACAAAAATAACAAACCTTTTTTAGGATAAGTAAAAGACATTATATTTAAAATCCAATATAGTAACTATACGAATATATATATATATATATATATATATTTATATATAGATATATATATGTTTGTATATATATTATTTAGCGCAATATTATAAAATAAAAAAACGAACGTAAAGAATATTTTACAGCTATGCAAATAACTCCCGCAGCTTATCCCAAAAGAGGAAAACCATATTGATGCTTTAACTATTTTCCCAGTTTACAATTTTCAGTTTTCAAGATCAAGGTTAAGAGCTCTACATAGCCACCTAGTTTCTTGTTAACCTACACGCAAAAAAAACCTTTAAAAAATACTTTTAAAAAAGAGAAAAAATATTATACAGCAGGCGAGTGGGAAGGCCTAGCTAGCTGAATGAATTTGTGTCTGTAACTGCTCGGCTTTTACTTGTGTCTGTATCTGTGTCTGTATCTGTATTTGCATACGTTTGTATTATCTGTTTCGCTTGAGTTTCATCATTGCGTTGTTTAAGCTTCCGCTTGTACTATTAAAAGTGCTTGAAGCTCTACCCGAGTCGAGCCGACTCCACAATAGACCCGCTGATAGCTGCATGTGGGTTGTGCGTGCCGCTTGTGACGTCATGAGCGCCTCACAACGAGTTCATAAATCGATCAACAGCAATTGGCTAGTCCGAGAGCCAAGTCATGCATCAGCAGCTGCCCTCTCATTACCCCTCGGAACTTGGCATGCAAATCGCGCGCGCGCGCGCTTTTTCAATGCCAGGCCAGCTGGCAGTCGCGTAGGCTTCATCGCATCTCTTGGCTGGCCTGATGACGTGTGCCGCCGAGGCATTCTTTTCGGCTGCTCCAACCAGCCACCAGCCACCAACCAACCAACCCAGCAACCAACAGCTGTCGCTTTATTCGTTTCATTCGCTTCATTCAGCTCCAACTGGAGACGATGAATGAACGCCGAGCACAACGCAAGCAGCAGCCACCACGCAAATGTTGTGGGTGTGACACCAACGCCGCTTCGGGTCACAACAAAACACACAACAAAGAAGTAGGTGTGCTGCTTCAACTTTATGATTGACTGTAGGTTACGCTGTAATTGACTCAAGGAGCTTGCTTCTACATGAAAACTAAAGCTTTTCCCATCGATACTTGTGTTGGGTCCGTTTTATTCTTATATCTTTATGCTGTACATCATTAATTTAAGTTTTTAAACTGATTTTTTAAATATGTAAAAGATAGCTGTATACTTCTAAAATATTTCATCCTGCAAAGCTGTTTGAAATGTCATAATGCTATCAAGTATATTCGACACCTGAGTTGTTGCAGTTAGTTGACTTTCTCTGTTTTTCCGTTTATAGGGTATTTGGTAGGTCACCACTATTTGCTATATTAATAGTGCTGCTATTGCGGTTGCTGCTGCTGCTGCAACTGCTTTGTCAACCAGCTGACTGATAAACTTCATAGCTTGTTATTGCCGCGGCTGCGGTACGTCGTTCTCTGCCACTGCCGCCAACTCCGAGTCCAGCCAAGGTTAGCTTCCCGCTTGCAGTGGGTTGTTTCTGTTTGTTATTGTTGCTAATGTCGCTGTTGTTGCTGTTGTTAAGCAACTTTACGCCACTTTATACAATACTTATGTATAGCAAACCAATATGCGTAGATTTTGACTGCGCGGGTGTTTACCTTCTTTGGTCGGTCACCTGCGCATCTTAAACGCCAACGCCCCAGCGATACATATATATGAATATATACGTATATATAGTATATATATATATATGATAAATAAAAGTAATAAAAAGGCAAAATGTAAGTTTATTGGCATCAACTCAACTTTTATTGTCATATATTTGTATACTCATTCACAAAGTGAACAATATATTTGTTGAAATTTGAAACATTTAACCCTCGTCTGTTAGTGTTATTGGCAAATCGGCAACTACTATATAATATGGTTCAAAAATATATTTTGGGTTTTTAAAATTGTTTCACTGTAAAGTAAAATGATTTCTGTTTCTTTGGTATCGTTTTGTTTTAGCGAATTTCTTCTTAATTTCTAAAGCATCTTACCAAGTTTTGTTATTGACTTTAAATACAGACATCAGTTTTTATGGAATTTGCATTGAACAAATAAATATTTTTGTTTCTTTTCCTTTAAAATTTTTCTCTGTCTTAAAATTTGCATTTGTCTCGGCTAAACTCCAGCTTCTGATCATATTTTTGCGTTTTTTAAGACCATGTGAGTCTGCTCGTAATTTTTTAAAATTCCTAACCCGTAAATAAGAGCAATACAAACGACTTTTCTTTCGAGGATTTGGTTAATTTCCAGTATATTTTCCTAATTCTTCTCTGCGTCTTCAAGTCTTGAAACAATAAAAACTTCAACTGCAATTCGAATTTCTTCTAATTCCGTTGGAAATAAAACTAAAATGCAAGATCTGCTCTAAATACTAATGAAAATAATTCGAAAATAATGAATTCCCTTCTCGTTAGGGCTTTAGGCAATAATGAATGTTATTTGAACGCTGCGACTTCTTGAGCTATTTCAAGTTGTGGCACACACAAAGTCGAATTTTTGCGCTGAATTTTCCCTGCTGAGGTGTTCCGCCTGGTGCTCCTTTTGCTCCTACTGTTTAGCTGTTGTCCACACACGTTTTAGTTGCCGCTTAGCCCCTCGTGGCTGTAAAGGCTGTACAGTAAATACATATCAGTTTGAGAAATTAAAAGCATTTTGCGGTTCGGCTGACTATCGTTGCCGCGTGCCGCTCGAGCCTCTAACGACATTTCAATGATTTTTCGACCCTGTTGCTGCTGCCCCCGATGTTGTTGCTGCTGTTGCCGCTGCCGCTGCTGCTG